TCCCTCCCTCCCTCCCTCCTTCCCTCCCTCCCTCGCTCCCTCCTTTTAAGCTTCGCCCTCAGGCACTCAGGGAAAGCTTGTTGTCAGGGGCTTTACTTGTAATTTAACTTGTTTATAATATTCCAAGCAAGTGCGTCTTCTTGTTGATTATAGAACTTTATTACAAAAAAAAATATTGAGATTACCTTGCGTGATGCAGAAAAGGATCACATTTTGCATATTCTGTTAAATACATGAAAGCTTTATCGCTCTGACGTATATTTAGTGAGGCTTTTATATTATCGTTTCTTTTATCCAATTCTTTCTCTTCTCCTTCTCTTTTATCTTCACTATCACTTCCACTCCTTATTAATCCCTCATATCCCTCTCCTTCTTCCCTTCTCCTCCCCTTCCTTCTCCTCTTCCTCCGTCTCCTCTCCCTCCCTCTTTCTCATCGGCCATCACTCAATCTTAGAGAAGTGGCTGAGGAAAGGGGGGGAGAAGGTGGATGGGGGAGACACCGTAACGCGGCGAGAAATTCCCGTAGAGTTCGGCAACCCGACGAGGAAATAGGTGTCTGATGAACAGTTGATTTTTATCGCCCAGCTGAATCAGTCGACTGCGAAATCACATCACTGCCTTTTAAGTCGCAGGTTATGGCATCACACGGCCGTAATAGGAAATGTGTAATAGGTGAAAAATAGGCGGGGATTCGAAAGGGGGGTGTTGTTGGTAGGGGGGGAGGGGGGAGAAAGGGTGGTTAGAGAGGCCTGGGAAGTGGAGGCTTGTCATATTTAAGGCGGCGGGAGGTGATGGGAGAGGGAGGGGGGGAGTGAGTGAGGGAGGAGTGGGGGCTTATGAAGGGGAGGGAAGGGGGGGATGAATCGTCGCTGGCACGGTGGTTTGTGTGTGTGTGAGTTTTTGTTGTTGTTGTTGTTGTTTGCTTTGGTTTTCCTTGGTTTTCAGAAAATTAATTTGCACCGGGACTTGATTTTATAGTGTAACGTTATAGAAAAGGATCTTGAAAAGAAATAGTGCAACTCTCTCTCTCTCTCTCTCCTCTCTCCTCTCTCTCTCTCTCTCTCTCTCTCTCTCTCTGCCTTACTTTCCCTCGCTTTCTCTCTCTCTCTCTCTCTCTTTCCCCCATTCTCCTCCCTCCCTCCCTCCCTCCCTCCGTCGATCGCTCTGCCCTCGCAATAGTCCCCTTGCTAATGACCAATTGGTGGCGGTTAATTGCAGGTAATCACCCAGCAATTACCATCACCATTTTACACATCAATTGTCATGGTTGGCGCGGGATTTGAAAATGACGGATGTATGGGCACCCTCACCCACGTTAGTATTTAACAAATTTAACCGTTTGTTAATCATTATAATGACTGCAATTTTTTATTCCACTCATTCAATGCAGTGCTATTACATGTGTGTGTGTGTGTGTGTGTGTGTGTGTGTGTGTGTGTGTGTGTGTGTGTGTGTGTACTTGTTCGTGTGTACAGTGTGTATGTGTGTGCTAAGGTCCCTCTGTCAGTTTGTTGTGAATGAAAGGATAGATAGGCCTTTTTTTTAACATGCGGAAAATAATACATATAGTTACGAACTTCACTTCAAAAAATATAGATACAAACTCATCTTCCAGTATCAGATTCTCAAGTACTTCACCTCACTCAAAAAAAAAAATAGATATAAAACTCATCTTCCATTATCAAAGTACTTCACATCACTCAAAGACACACCTAAAACCTCCCCACATCTGCTTTTGCTCTCGGGTCACACACACACGCGCGTGCATGCATTCATCATCCCGCTCACTCGTCGCTATTCACCGTGCGCTCCTGCTCGCGTGGGGAGATTCACCTGGAGATGAGGACAGCGTTATTCACCGCACATCAACCCTGGCCAGTGGGAATTCATCGGCGCGTGAGAGAAGCTTTGGCGGGTTCATCACCACGATCCATTATTCATCAGTTGACTCTACTCCCGTCCACCTCTCTTTCTCGTCCTCCTTCTCTTCGTCTTCTTCTTCTTCTTCTTCTTCTTCTTCTTCTTCTTCTTTTTCTTCTTCTTCTTCCTCCTCCTCTTATTATTATTCTGGTACCGTTACGAATGGCATTACGACTATTTCCTGAGATTTTTTCTGGTACTTCCTTTTTCTTCTTCTTCTTCTTCGTCTTCCTCCTCCTCCTCCTCTTTCTGTTCCTTATCCTCATCTTCTTCCTCCTCATCCTCATTCTCACCCTCCTCATCCCCAGTCTCCTCCTCGTTCTCTTTCTCTTTCTCCTCCTCCTTCTCTTCTTCGTCCTCTCCTCCTTTTCATCTTCCTCTTCCTCATACTCTCCTCCTCCTCCTCCTCATTTTCTTTTCGTCTTCTTCATTCTCTTCCTCCTCTTCCTTTTCTTTTTCTTCTTCTTCTTCGTCTCCTTCTTCTTCTTCTTCTTCTTCTTCTTCTTCTTCTTCTCCTTCTTCTCCTTCCATTCTTTTATATCCCCTCCTTCTCCTTACCCTCCCTCTATTCCTTCAGCTGCTTTTACTCCTCTTTCCCCTCCTCCTCTTATTATAATTTTTCTTCTTCCTATCCTGATTTCGGGGAGATATTCAACGCGTGAGTCAGCAAAGGATTTTCTTTTATTTTCGATCTGCGTGTTAAGAAAAAAAGTAATAAATCTTTAGGCCCGAGAACCACTTGGAAAAGAGGTGGATGAGCAGGGTGATGGAACTATAGTTATTATGGAAGGAGTGTTAGGAGGTAAATTTCTAGTTCCTTTTTGGGTATAGTTAAGTTTATGGATGAATAAATAGAATGATCTGTTTGTCGTACTGAAGTAGATAAATAGATAGATAAGCGTACGGTTCCGTATATTCTAATTAAGTAGATAAACAAATGGATCATTATAAAGTTCCGTTTAGCATACTGAAATAGATAGATAAGTAGAGATAAGTCAACACCTTCGTTTCGATAAAGAACCACTTGACGTGTGCGAAACCTGCGGATATGTGTAGCCATGTTTGAGTATGTCCCACATAGCTGTGACGGCTGTAATGCGTTCCCTTGTGAACTTTTGTTGAGAGACTTCGATGAACAACAAAACTATTGGGAATACCAATTATGAATTGATTTGCGTATGTTTTTCAATTGTATATTTGCTTATTTGGTTGTATGTGTGTGTCAATGTTTGAGAGATTGAGTGCTGGGCAAATCGTGAATTTTTAGAATTTGGTTTTGTGCGAGAAAAAGGTATTACGCAGATGAACGAAAGGGAGAGACGGATAAATAAACGAAAGAGGGAAAATGGGGGTGTGGGGGGAGAGGAAAGGGAGGACACAGACATGGAAAAGTGAATGGACTCTGTTGACGAAGTGACTTGGTCAACATGGTCAGCCTCTTATTGGATCTGAACCAGTCGGCCTTTTAGGTTGGGTAGGGTGACGCCGTTGCTTCACATCCCCTTCTCGCTCTCGGATTTACGGACGTGTGAAAGCGGAGACGCCATGAGCAGCATTTCCCTTCCCTTCGCGACTATTTTGCAACTCTTCCCTACCTTCCGTCTGTCGTCCTTCTCCCCCTCACGACTCAGAACCGGTCGAGGCGCTCCGGTGTGTTCCGTTTGAGGTAATACGTCATTTTGAGAGGAATTTCCGCGCAATCGTCTTTGAGATTTCATTAGAGAAAGAAGTGTAAAAGTTAGTGTAGATAAGGTCGCATTTCGCGTGCGGACCAATCAGGCGTCGGCGGTAGGTGAGGGGACAGCAAACTTTTAATGGTTTACCCCGAGGCAGCGAGAAAAAAAGAAAGGAAAGAGGCTGATGAAAAACGTATTGCGTGCCTTCTCTTTCTTCACTGAAAGGACCGTTGGACTGACAAGCACACATTAAAACCTACCGACACATATAACATTCACTTAGAAACCTTAAAAGTTGCTTAATCAAACTAAAAACGAATGGAATTTCAACCATCGCAAAGAAATGGGTCCCAAGATAAGGAGAAAAAAATCCCCGAAAAAAATCTTCATCGCCTTTCGAACCCAGAGAGAGAGAGAGAGAGAGAGAGAGAGAGAGAGAGAGAGAGAGAGAGAGAGAGAGAGAGAGAGAGAGAGAGAGAGAGAGAGAGAGAGAAAGAGAGAGAAAAAAAAGTTAAAAGTAAAAGTAAAGATTGACCATGTTGACCAAGGTACTTTGCACCAGAAGGTCAGTGGACCGAGCGAGTTCATCAATGGTCTTGGGACGGCGTGAGGTTAGGTTAACAGAGTGCGAGGTGATTTGGGGAAGACGCGGGGCTGATTCGCAGCGTTGTGAGGTGGCTGTGCGTTGGGAATATGCGGTCGACGGGGTTGGGTGGACGCTGTGAGTGTGTGTGTGTGTGTCTTTGTGTGCGCGCGCGTGTGTGTGTGTGTGTGTGTGTGTGTGTGTGTGTGTGTGTGTGTGTGTGTGTGTGTGTCTGTGTTTATGTATGAATTATGTGTGCGAAATCACGTTTCAAAGAAATTCACGGCAACCTTAAAATGTCTGGATACTTGTTGCACCAACAAAAAAAAATCATGTCAAAAATGAATTGTATCAACATTCAATAAACAATCACACAAGCAATAACGAAACACTAATCCAACATCCTGTTTTCACACCTGATTATCTGCCATTTAAGGAAATCATTAGAGAGAAAATTATGTTAAAATCCTCAATAGGTTTCGCGGGACGCCCGGGTCGGAAATTTCAATCTAACTGATTAACGACACTGAGCGCTAGTCAACCGAATAATATTTCTTGAATAATCGATTATCGCTGAAGATTTCGTAGTACATATGCACTATCATGGCCTCGCACATTTTTCCTTTAAAAATATCAAAATTAGATAGAAAGTATAACTGTCTTTATTCCTATTGCCTATTCAAAAGGAATAACACCCGGAGAATGCTGCCTCCACCTAACATAAGAAAAAAGCATAACCAATAGAGTGATAAAGCCTCGGGCCGTCTAGGGTGCGCAGCGAGAGACAAAAACGAGTCTGGAGTAGCACATGGTAAGCGGGCGATGAACAGCCATTGTCGGTGCCCAGTCAGCCGTTGTGCACAAGACACGCAAAACCCGCGCCAGCCGAATTTTAGGCGTTACACTTTTGATATTATTTTTGTGTTTATTGTCGCTGATTCTGTGTTTTATAATATTTCTTCTTTGCTTTTTCCTTTTTAGATATTTTCTGTGGTTCGTGATGATTTATTTAATTTTGCTTAGTTTTATACTGAAAGGCGCATCGCACACGGAACATTATATTTGCAGAATACATCGTTTTATTATCTATTCTTCGAAAGATGACGCCCCATTGCCTCCATGTTTACGGCCGCGGCCAAGGCGAAGTCCAGCCCGAACTTTTCCCGTTGTAAGGACTCGCTAATGACGCCCTGGGGACCATTCGCCGAGCGGTAATAAAGGCGCGATCATCTCGGACCATATATCTTTATGATTTTTTTCACGCTTCTATTGTGATTGTCAAGATGTTTTGTCTCTAGGCTGATGGTGGGGTCTCTCTCCGTCATCATCTGTTCCTTCTTATTTCTTTGTGACGCGTGACAGAGGAGAGGGAGAGGGAGAGGGGCAAAGAGGACTCTTTTTCTCTCTCCCATTTCTTGTTCCTTTTTTGTAAGGGGTGGCAGGAATTTAGTACATGAATGTTTCTTGTGTTATTCTTTGTTTGTGCTAAATCACACTGCCATTGCTCACATGATAATGTGTGTGTGTGTGTATATATATATATATATATATATATATATATATATATATATATATATATATATATATATATATATATATATATATATACACACATGTGTGTGTGTGTGTGTGTGTGTGTGTGTGTGTGTGTGTGTGAAGTCGTATGTATATGTGTTCATGTGAATGCTTACAAAGACCATCCTTCTGTCCCCCCCAAATAAACTATTTTTCACGCCCACAAGACTAACCCATTCTCACCTAAATTCACGCGTCGTTCCCAGCGTTCACCACACAACCCACGCCCACATACAGACTCGCACACACGCCCACTCCCCGCACAGAAGAGGACAGTGAGTCACCAAAAAGCCACAGGCGAGAGAGCACTGAGGCGACTGATCTTATTTCAGCAGTGAGGAGAGAGGGAAAGGAGAGGGAAAAAAAGATAGAGTTAGAAGAGGGAGATGAAAGAGAAAAAAAGAAAAAGGAAAAGAGAGTGTTGAAAGAGGGAGGTGAAGGAAAAATGAAAGAGAAAGTTGAAAGAGGGAGATGAAAGAAAAATGAAAGAGAGAGCTGAAGGAGAGAGATGAAAGGAAAAAAAAAAGAAAAAAAAAGTAAGTTGAAAGATGGAAAGTCAATTTGGAAAAAGTCATGTCGTGTTGCCAATGGAAGGTGTGAAGTTTTATCCACAGTAGGGTTACAGCGAAACGTAGAATATAACGTGGTATTGAACAAATATGGGAAACGAACAAAAAAAAAAGATAACGATTTACGTTTTTGAAGTGTGGAAACGCATATATTCCAACAACAAGCTTTACATCAACATTCAGGTGTAGTTAATCTAAAAAAAGATCCAAAAGGTATGCAGCCTTTCACCAACCTCCCCCCCCCCACACCCCCACACCCATCCCACCTCTCCCACCCACCCACCCACCCACCCACCCTCTCCGTCCAACATAAAAAGAAATGAAAAATGCGCATATACACTTACACCCAAACATTATATCGGATTCGGAGCGCTAGAGTTCAAAAGGCGGACCTGTAGCCACAGCCAGCCAATCTGTTATCCAATTTCGGCACCGACGCCTTAACTCCATACAAATGTTTGCTCACAAGGGAAGGAGAAAAGGAGGGAGAGGGAGGGAGAACGGGTGAAAAGAAAAGGAGAGAGGGAGAGGGAAGGCGGCTTAAAAAGAGGGGAGGGAGGAAAAGGGGGGAAAAAAGATGGAAGAGAGTGAGGGAGAACGGGTGAAAAGAAAGGGAGAGAGGGAGAGGGAAGGCGGCTTAAAAAGAGGGGAGGGAGGAAGAGGGGGGAAAAAAGATGGAAGGAAGAGGGAGGGAGAGCGGGTGAAAAGAAAAGAAGGAGCGGAAAGGGGAGGGCGGGAGAAAAAAAGAAGGAAAGGAGGGAAATAGAAAGGGTGAAAAAAGAAGGGAGTGTGAAAAGAAGGGAGGAAGGAAGGATGACAAGAGAAGGTAGAGAAGGAAGAATGAAAAGAAATAGAACTGGGATAGAATAAAAATAGACAGAACACAAGAATCAAAAACTCTGAAAGTATGTCAAAGAAAAAGCGAGAAAAGAAGAGGAAAGGGAGTGAAAAGAGGAGAAAAGGGAGAGAGAGCTTTTAGGGAAGAGGGAGAGAAGCAGAGAACTGCCAGAAAAAAGGGAGAGAGTTTCCAGGAAAGAGTGAGAGAGAGAGAGGAGGATACCAAGGAAGAGAGAGAGAGAGAGAGAGAGAGAGAGAGAGAGAGAGAGAGAATCGCCAGGGAAGAGAGAGAGAGAGAGGGAGAGAGTTGCCAGAGAAAAGTGAGGAGATAAAGAGGACTGCCGGGGAAGAGGGAGAGAGGGAGAGAGCTGCCGAGGAAGAGGGATAGAGGGAGAGAACTGGGAGGCGAGTTGTTAGTGAAGCGGCGGCGCATACGTAACTGGCTGAAATATGGTCCGCTCGAGACCCAGGCGGGGAACGGGTGGGGAGGGGGGGTGACAGCTGATATACTCACTTGTCGTTATCTTTTTGGTTCATTTTTTATTGTTATTATTATTATTATTGTTAATATTGTTATTTTTATTGCTGTTATTATTGTTGTTTTTAGCATCATTATTACCATTGTTATCATTGTTATTATTATTACTATCACTATTATTGTTATTTTTATTATTATTATTATTGTTGTTATTATTATTATTATTATTATTATTATTACTATCATTATCATTATTATTATCGTTATCATCAACATCATTTCTATTAATAATATCATTATCGTTGTTGTCAAAAGAATGTATATCTAACAAAATACACATATATATATATATATATATATATATATATATATATATATATATATATATATATATACATATTGTGTATGTGTGTGTGTGTGTGTTTGTCTGCACGTATATAATACACACACCCTCTCTCACAAACACACACACACACATTTATGTGTATGTGTGTGTAAGTTTAAGCGTGTGCGTTCCCGAGTTAGTATTATATGATCTGCGTAAATGCCCATGTGTGTGTATGTACGTATCCCTGAGTGCGTCTCCCCACGAAGGCGAGGGGAGAAGCGAAAAGAAAACAGTGAAAGCGCAGTCGAATCAAAGTTGCTTCGTGGGAATTAAGCTCCAATTTCTGCCCCTCCGAAACAGAGAGGAAACAAATGAATAACTACAATAAAACTCCGGCGGCGAGAGAAAGAGAGAGAGAGAGAGAGAGAGAGAGAGAGAGAGAGAGAGAGAGAGAGAGAGAGAGAGAGAGAGAGAGAGAGAGAGAGAGAGAGAGAGAGAGAGAGAGAGAGAGAGAGAGAGAGAGAGAGAGAGAGAGAGAGAGAGAGAGAGAGAGAGAGAGAGAGAGAGAGAGAGAGAGAGAGAGAGAGAGAGAGAGAGAGAGAGAGAGAGAGAGAGAGAGAGAGAGAGAGAGAGAGAGAGAGAGAGAGAGAGAGAGAGAGAGAGAGAGAGAGAGAGAGAGAGAGAGAGAGAGAGAGAGAGAGAGAGAGAGAGAGAGAGAGAGAGAGAGAGAGAGAGAGAGAGAGAGAGAGAGAGAGAGAGAGAGAGAGAGAGAGAGAGAGAGAGAGAGAGAGAGAGAGAGAGAGAGAGAGAGAGAGAGAGAGAGAGAGAGAGAGAGAGAGAGAGAGAGAGAGAGAGAGAGAGAGAGAGAGAGAGAGAGAGAGAGAGAGAGAGAGAGAGAGAGAGAGAGAGAGAGAGAGAGAGAGAGAGAGAGAGAGAGAGAGAGAGAGAGAGAGAGAGAGAGAGAGAGAGAGAGAGAGAGAGAGAGAGAGAGAGAGAGAGAGAGAGAGAGAGAGAGAGAGAGAGAGAGAGAGAGAGAGAGAGAGAGAGAGAGAGAGAGAGAGAGAGAGAGAGAGAGAGAGAGAGAGAGAGAGAGAGAGAGAGAGAGAGAGAGAGAGAGAGAGAGAGAGAGAGAGAGAGAGAGAGAGAGAGAGAGAGAGAGAGAGAGAGAGAGAGAGAGAGAGAGAGAGAGAGAGAGAGAGAGAGAGAGAGAGAGAGAGAGAGAGAGAGAGAGAGAGAGAGAGAGAGAGAGAGAGAGAGAGAGAGAGAGAGAGAGAGAGAGAGAGAGAGAGAGAGAGAGAGAGAGAGAGAGAGAGAGAGAGAGAGAGAGAGAGAGAGAGAGAGAGGGAGAGAGCTGCCGGGGAAGAGGGATAGAACTGGAAGGCGAGTTGTTAGTGAAGCGGCGGCGCATACGTAACTGGCTGAAATATGGTCCGCTCGAGACCCAGGCGGGGAACGGGTGGGGAGGGGGGGTGACAGCTGATATACTCACTTGTCGTTATCTTTTTGGTTCATTTTTATTGTTATTATTATTACTATCACTATTATTGTTATTTTTATTATTATTATTATTATTACTATCACTATTATTGTTATTTTTATTATTATTATTATTATTACTATCACTATTATTGTTATTTTTATTATTATTATTATTACTATCACTATTATTGTTATTTTTATTATTATTATTATTACTATCACTATTATTGTTATTTTTATTATTATTATTACTATCACTATTATTGTTATTTTTATTATTATTATTATTACTATCACTATTATTGTTATTTTTATTATTATTATTACTATCACTATTATTAGTTATTTTTATTATTATTATTATTGTTGTTATTATTATTATTATTGTTAATATTGTTATTTTTATTATTATTATTATTACTATCATTATCATTATTATTATCGTTATCATCAACATCATTTCTATTAATAATATCATTATCGCTGTTGTCAAAAGAATGTATATCTAACAAAATACACACACACACACACTCAAACGACAACAAACTACCGAATGGTCTTACCACAATGCAAACTGTGCCTTTTGTTTTCGATTTGTGGAATCATGCTTGGATGTTTTTATTTGATTTGAGGACGGGATTGTAAAATATTTATTTCTATTCATATCTATACATATTATCATTATTTCGATGCGGATTATAATTATAGCACAATCTTCAACAGCATAGTTGATATTTAGGAAGTATAGTCATATGTATTTTTTTCTTCTTCTTCCTCCATTATCATTATTGTTTTATCCTCCCCACTTTCGGTTCCCTACGCTCTCCTCTCCCTCTCTCTCCTCCCCTTTTCCCCTCCCCTTTCTCCCCCTCCTCCCCCCTCGCCCGCCACCCTGCACTCGCAACTAACGCGAGTACCTAGCGAGGAACATTGCTTAAGAGGTACTCATGCATACGGGCTGAGGGGCCGCCGAGAGGGGAAGAGGGAGGGGAAGGGTGATGGAAAGGAAGGGGGGGGAGGGGGAGGAGGCGGAAGAGGGTCGAATGTAGGGTGAGGGAGAAGGGAGGCTGATAGGACGAGAATTGGAGGGAAACGGAGCTAGAGGGAAAACTGGGCTGGTGAAGATTGATGGATGATTGCGTGGATAGATAGCTCGGTGGATGGAGGGGCTGATGGATCACTCGGCCGGACGGGTAGATGGACGGGTGGAGCCAGGTCGAGGTAGGAGCTGGGTCAAGGCTCGGATTCTACTGACCTTATCTGACTCTGAAACTACACTCAAGGCGGGGATTGTTGCCCTACTGGCCAGGCCTCAAATTCTTGGTCCACAATTCTGCTCTTTTTATGGCAGGTATTAAGAATTTATAGCCTATGATCGTGTAAGATGGTTGTTAAATATTGTTAAAAACCCTATCGGAAAATGACCTGAAGGCACCCTCAACGCTCTAAGCTAGGGGGATAGTAAGTGTGGACGGGCGGAGGTCGCTCGAAGATCAGAACTAGAGTGTGGGTAATGGAATCTGGACTTGAAAAAAAACAAAGTTCTAGAAGTAGCCACACCGATGCCAAACGGATCAGCGATGAGGGACCAAAAAAACAACAAACAAAAAGGGACCATCCCATACAGAAGATAAACCGACGATATAATAACACCTTCAGAAAGACAAACAGAAAAAAATCAGAGCGCGCCGGGGTGTCTGATGCCATATGCCGTTCGAGGGAGATGGGGGGGGGGGGGAGAATGAATTGGAGGGAGGGGGTGTTGAGAGTGAATTGGAGTGGGGGGGGGAGGGAGTGATGGCAGGGCGGGGCAACAGTGTTAAGTGTGGGGCGACAAATACAGTGACAGGTGTTGCATATCTGTTTATTTTTTTTTCTTTTATAGTTTGAACAAACTGTGAGTCCTCATTGTCTCCAGCATCACGAAATATTTAACAAAATGACGTCCCTTACCCCGTGACACCCTTTTTTCGTCGCATTCTTAACACATTCTAAAAAAAAAACATTCTCAGAAATCCTCTACATCCGCAGAGCAGTTAAAGCTTCATGTACATAATCTGTAAAACTGAGAGAACAGTGAAACTAACTTTGTCTTCTCTCTCCCCCTCCTCCCCCCAGGGTACCCTCACAACACACTCGGAATGACCAAGTCTTCCCTGGATGCGCACAGCCCTCACCTTCGCCAACCAGGTAGGTTATTCGAGGTCAACATGAAAGCCTTTTATACTAAATTCTGGACTTGATTCACCATTTTTTGTTTGTTTGTTTACCTCCTTTGTCTGTGGCAGTTTTGTTTCATCTACCTGCCTCTTTAAATTATCCTAATAGTAGTTATCTTTATCTGTTAGTATCACGAATGACATTATTGTTACCATCATTACCACGATTACTATCACTGTTAGTAGCATCACCCTCATTACAATTGTTATTATCTTCATCGTTATTGGTACTATCGTTATAATCACTGATTCTGTTATAATTATGTGCCTTGATCACTCCTCATTCGTATTACATCAGAAGAGAACAACAATGATAAAACAATAGCCTGAAGGTTCTCTGCGGTTGGCGGGTCGTGGCTGAGCTATCAGTTACTAATCAAATATTGCTTTACCTTTTACGGAAGGGAATGTTACTCAGTCTCAACGCCTTGGAACGACGTCTAACCATCACTTTTACTTAAGAACAATCCATAATTTTTAAATCAATCTTCATCTAAAATCCACCCACCCCCTTTATTTAACAGTCACTCAAGAAATATATATCTTATCAAACCATACTGTTCAAAACACCAACTCTAACCGACGGAAGATGAAAGCCGAAGTCAAAGTCACTCCCTGCTGAACGCGAATCCGAACGGAGGGATCAGTTGACCACTTGTAAGAGATCCGTCACAGATTTGCGGGTTAAGTGTGCCTCCGCCGCCGCCTGTAATACGAGTCGGTCCTTGTGATCCTGTTTATTTGTTGCGGATACACATAAAGAGGACGGTAGCCTGTAGCCTGGGGAGCAAAGGGGGGATAGGGAAGGGACAAAAAGAAGAGGAGGGGTGGGGGGTAAGGGGTAGAGTGGTAGGTAAAGAGGTTTGACGTCGGTTCGAAAGTCGAGTAGATTATTTTCTCTTGGATTTTCGCTATACTGTGCTTGTATTTATTTTTTTGGAGGGACGATATTGCTATTGGGCTTGTATTTTGATCATGCCTGATAATAGCGAGGATCACTACAGTAAACGAAACTATTTGATATCGTGGAAATCATAGGATCAAGCTAAATTTATGATTACTTGAAACACTGGCATTTCCACCTCGTGTTTCCTGACCTGTAATTTTACGGAACGCTTTATCTTTTTTATCCACCGAAATAATGGATATAAGCACATTAACTTAGAGAACAAGAAGAGGCGAGGGTGCCATATGCCATGTTCCCGAATGTCATCTGCTGTTTCGTTTTCGTCTTTCATTTCACTCACAGTTTTTTCATGTTTTATTTTCTATTACTTCCTATCTGTCCATACGGTCGCTAAACACCTTATACATCGCCGATGATTGACCTCTAATGATCTGATCAACAGAACTTAATAAGTGTACAATGCGAGCCTCCAGAGTCACAAGGACATATCTCCACCCCCCAACCCCACCCCATTAACTTCATTTGTTCTTCATTGTTCGACCAAAACTTTGTTATTTGTTATTACTGTTTTTGCTTCTTCTTTAGTCTACACACACAGATGGTTCAGTATTTGTTTGTTTGTGAATGTCCATTATTTTAGGCGGGACGTTGCCAGATTTAGTAATTATTCTTGATTTCTGGAGAGCTTTATACATGTATTTATGTCACGTGTTGTTCATATGTTTATTTTGAACAAACATCCCGGGTATGTCACGCGTCATTGCTCTGATTTTAATCGCAATTGGCAACCGATGGTGCGTCTAGGTTTCGCGGCCAAACAGTTCAGGGATTACATAACGCTGTGGCGATCGCTGGACACACAGGCTAAAAATAACCTGTATTCTGTACTAAAATTATGTAAGCGCAGAAAAAAAAAGAAACAAAAAAATAAACATGACGATATCCTTTTGTTGTTTGTTTGTTTTTCTCTCTCTGTGCCGTTTTTTTTTCTACCTATGTATTTTTCCGTGTGGCTAATGTGCTCTTCCTTTCTCATTCTCCCTCTCTCCCTCCTTCTCTCTCTCTCTCTCTCTCTCTCTCTCTCTCTCTCTCTCTCTCTCTCTCTCTCTCTCTCTCTCTCTCTCTCTCTCTCTCTCTCCCTCCTCATCCCTCTCTTTTTCGCTATGTCTACTTATCTGTCTCCGTATCTCTCCCTCCCTTTATTCATCACTCTATCTATCTATCAATATTTCTCTCTTTCCCTCTCTCCCTTTATTGACCTTTCTGTCTATCAACATTTTTTTCTTTCTCTCTTTCCTAATCTCTCTCTCTCTCTCCCTCCCTCCCTCCCTCCCTCCCTCCCCTCTCCCTCCCCCTTCCCCTCCCCCTCCTCCTCCCTCTCCCCTCTCTGATTCTCTCTCTCCCCTCTTTCTCTCTCTTGCTCACCATCTCCCCTCCCACCTCCATTATCTCTTTACCTCCATTCGCTTCTATCGGTATCCCTCCCTCCCCTTTTAAGCATGCATGACACCAGGAGACCGAACAAGGGAGGAGGGAGATACGAGTCAGGCACATAGGCCTACCTCACGCACGCATGGCGATAGCGAGGAGTGGGGGTGGTGTTAGGCCGTAGGGGTAGGGGGTATGGGGAGGCATGGTTAGAGGGGAGGAAGGGAGGAAAGAGGGGTGGGGGGAAGAGAGGAAGGGGGGAGGGGGGAATGCAGGTGGCAGTGACGTCGTTAACAATGCAGCTACACGTGCCTGTGTGATCAGCCGACCCTAACTGTTGCGGCAGTGCAGTCGGACCTGTGGGGAATACCTAAACACAAATGCCATAACAATGCCGCCATACCTATACTTCCCTTTTTTTTTCTTTTCATTTCTTTATCTCTCTTTTTTTTTCATTTATTTTCTCTTGTTTTCTTTATCTCTTTTCTTATTTTTTTCTTCATTTAGATTTTTATGTTTTCTTTATCTCTTTTTTATTTCTTCGTTTAGCTTTTCTTTTTCTTTTTTTTGTCTGTTTTTTTTTATTTCTTCATTTTTTATTTTCTATCTCAGTGATAGCTAAGCTTACTCATACGATTTGTGATAGTATACGCTTTAATTCTATTTTTTCTTTCATTCTTTTGGTGTAAATGAACTGTGAGTTGGAAATGTAAATGTATGTGTTTGTATGTATTTGTGTGTGTGTGTGTGTGTGTGTGTGTGTGTGTATGTGTGTGTGTGTATGTGTGTGTGTGTGTGTGTGTGTGTGTGTATGTGTGTGTGTGTGTGTGTGTGTGTGTGTGTGTACGTGTGTTCTCAAGTTAAGTAAATGCGTTGCTTAGATATTTTCACAGATTTTAGGATCGTAGCCCGCGAAACACGTACAAACAGAAACAGTGTTAACAAAAGCTATTCAACCGCTTTCTAATTCCTCAAGGAGATTCGGAGTTCGAAAAAAAAAAAACATGAAGCGTAAATGACATTCGGAGATTCACGAATTTCGTTTCTAAAAACCCGTCGAGAACCAAAGACCGGTTAAAAAAAAAGATGTTCTGTACATAACGATGTAGAACTCGTGGGTCGCGAGTGTCCTGGAATCGGTTTCAAAGCGTCGCGTCGATAAATGGACTTAATCACTTTTTCGAGACGGTGAGCGCGCCACATTTCATTCGTTTATATTTTTTCCTCCGTGTTTTTCAGTTGATGGTATTAATTACCTGTTTCATTGATTATCTTTATCTTATATGTTCGTTTGTTTATTTGTTATTTTCTTTGATTTTCGCCAAACGTCACAACTTACAACTACCTTCTTATAAATTGCGATATTGAGATATGATAGAGTGACGTCATCGAGACCTATAGGCCGTGTGTGGGAGCTTAGTCGGGACTTTGATGACGTCATAAGAAGCAAACGGCTATGATGACGTCAAGGGTGGATGACTGCGCAATGGAGCACGACTGCGCAGGCCTTGGTATGCCCCCCCCCCCACACACACACACACTTCCACCCTCGTAAGGCTCATCACATCAACGAGCAGAAATTACTTACGGAGGAAGGATTCTTGGTTATCCTCTCCTCTTCCTCTGATTTCCGCTTTTATCGCTCTCTAAGTCTTCTTTTTTCTCTCTTTTTTCTTATATTTATTCTTTTATGCTTCTTCGCCCTGCTTCTTCTTACCATCTTTATCCTTCTTTGTATTTCACCCCCTTCGACTTGAGTCTCTTTTCTCTCGGTCCTTCCACTTTCATCTACTTCTCCACTGCCACCCTCATCCACATCCGCCTTTCACCCCCTCCCCCTCATCGTTCCACCTACCTCCACAAAGATGGCGGCAACGGGCACGTGGCGGCGGCGGCGGCGACAGTTAGCTCATTACCATACTCATGCAAATTCGGGTAATTACGGCGACATCGTTATGAGTTCTCTCGCGTCATTGTTCACGCCGGCTACACGCGACCATTTAGCGATGCCCGACGTGCAGGGTTCCGTTGGGGGGGAGGGGGGGTACACTGCAGTGATGGAGCAGCAGCCAAGTTATTCAGTGTTAAGAGTTCAGTGTTCCTAGGCTTAGCATGGTCTTGTGCATCACCGGTTAGTGTGTTTATATGTGAGTAACGTTTTAAAAGATGCTTTTATGCGCCCTCTCTGAATATTCACGGACGTTCTTCCAAGTCGCTCTATGAAGGATCTCCAGAAATGCAGATAAAAATCCGCCTCCGCAGGCCCCATCCCGCCGTCTTTTAAGGCCTGCTCTGCGCCGCAATCTTCGTATCTGGCCCTCATAGAAGAGCCATATCTCTTTCAATTTTCTCACAGAGGGACATAAATTGGGGTTTTATTACGAATTGCTCTTCTGCGTGGGTTGTTTTAGTTCCAGCTCACACACCATTACTCAGGCGGAGGCAATGCAGCGTCCGTCTGGGCGGCGGCCGTCTTGTGGAGGGAGAGGCGGCCGTTTCGCTTGCTTCTCTCGGATTTTCAGTCGTCCTTGCAGCCGTCGGTGGATTCTGCAGTTGTCGAATCATTTATTTTGCACGATCTGGATCTAGGCTGAAGTGAAACGCGGATGCCCTTCGAGAACCGCCCCCTTGAGCGC